AAACTAAAATTTATATATAGATATTTTATATTTTACTAACATGTTGACCATTGTGAGCGTTTAAAACCGAAAATCTCATTCAACTCATTCACTCTCAAAGGACTCCCATTAGTATCAATTACCCTGGCGGCACACAACTCTCTCGTCGGACTAATAATGCATAATATGGTATTATCATCCTCCATTTACGCTCTATCTAATTGCATCTCATCTAGCATTTCAATTCCCGTTGCCGTTCGCTGTCAATAAGCTGCCAGTTTCTCAATGGCCAGACAACCCAACCAGTTAGCCAGCGAACGAACCATCCAACCCACTTGCTCCTTCCTTCCGACATATGCTCATCCATTTATCATAGTCGCCATAGCGATTGTGTCGAATGGATACCCTTTGGGGCTGGGCGGGTATCGTCCTCAGCTCGCTTCATTAAAAAGTAAGCCCTTTTAAATTGGCCCCCTTCCCCTTGCGTTCGTTTTAGCCAGCTCGAAGCCATTCCGCTTTCTATCCGGCCAACAACCAATTGACATTCATAGAAAGCAACGGGACTGCGTTCTTTTCTCCGTTCTCCGTTCTCCGGTCTTCTCTCCTCCACTAGTTTCCCCACCGTATTCAATTTTTTTTTTTTTGGATCCTTCTCAAATCGTTTTGGCCTGTTCATCTTTTTCCCAACTGCGTGTGAGTCTGTGTTTGTGTCTGTGTCTGTGTGTGTTTGCCTTTCAATTTGCTGACTGCTGCGTGTGTGCCCAGTTAGAGAAACATAATCGGGCAATACTTTTCCAGCTATTTGCGTGGCAAATATTTTTGCGGAGCCCGGAGAAAAACCAACGAGCCCATCGAAGCGAAGCCAGCAACAAAATTGTCAAAGGGTTAGCATTTTCCCTGGGCTGCTTTTGGCCAGGTTGTGCGTCCCGCTTTCAGTTTAGAATACTGATTCTGTTTCTGGTTCTGGTGGCAGCATCAGTAGCAGTGTCTCTGGCTTTGGGCCTGTTTGTCATCAGCTCCATATCTGCCGGCCAATTTACATTTACGAGCCGGCAGCAGCGACAGCAGCCGGGCAGCCGTCAAATATGTTAAATAACGAACTATTTTGCATTTTTATTTTATTTTTTTCCACCGCCCGTCTCTTCTTCTCTGCTCATATTGAAAATGGGAGGGAAAATGGGGCAAGGGGTCTTCAATCCGGTGTTGGGCTTCGGTTTCTCTTTTTTGTTTTTTTTTTTTTTTTTTTTTTTGGGGGAAATGCCTTGAACGCCGAGAATTTGTGTGCGGCTTTCAATGAGGAATGTGTGTGAGCCTCTCCGTCTGTTTCTGCTTTTGTGTCTGCCTTTGGTATCCTCCTCCCCCTTCTGTTTACACAACCATGTCAATTTAAATCTATGTCAAAACACACGACTTAGTTGAGGTTTATTTATGTCGGTCTGTCCCCACCTCCCTCCCCTTCCCTTCCCTCCAATCCCTCGTCCTTCCTTGGCAATTCAATAAAAAAAAAACACAAAAAATGGAAGCGGTTTTTTCCACCTTTTTTATTTGCATTTCCGAGTCACGTAAATGGATCTTCGGCACTATCTGGATAATATTCGATTTCCACGCGCTCCCCTTTTCAATGCCCTTTGTGCCGATGCCTTTTAAATTGGTTTGGCTGACAACGCCTCGCTCAATAAATATCTAATTTCCGTCCTATGTGTTCATACATTGTGTACGAATTAAAGTGGAAAATGCTCACTTTTTCTTTCTCCTTTTTAGTGAACCTGAAAGTGGGGGCGTGGCAAGGATTAAGCCCATCAAGCGTATGATTAGCGTCAATCAGTGGAATTGTGGACGTTTAATTAAAAATCAATCAGTTGCTGTGACATAAAACCGGAATGGTTCGATAAACAGTTTATGTAGCCAAGGTTCAGGTTCCAAAGCTAAAACGGGATTATAGCGTGAATGAAATACCATATTCCCCCGGAAAAAAGTGGGAGTGGCCACGGAGGCGATACATTGAAAATTTTGTAGTGGACATCAATCATTTTGTTGCACGGCCTGGCCAAAGTTTCGTGTTAATCAGGAAAACACCCATAGCATGATAGATTGACTCTCTATTTTGTGTGACTAAGGTTATGTCCTAGTAATTAGGGTCTGGGCGAACGTGAACTGGAAATTATAGACGTCAGGAATCGGTCAATGGAACGTGAACTTTATTGGTTTTAATGCGTCAGTGGATAATTTTTGAAAATAATTTGTCTTTTACTCTGTTTGTGTTTGTTTGTTTTTTTTATGATAATTAAAAGAAGTTAATAACGAATTATCCACAGTGAAATCAATATTAAAATCAAAATAAATAACACAATTTTTATATAGCTTCAAGTGGCGGCTTGCAAAATTTGATTTATTAAGCTCATTACATTTTATTGAAGAAAATCGATCAGAAAGTCCATTAGTCAATCAGAAATCAGAAAGCCCGAAGGCTAGCAAATAATTTAATCGACAGCATGATATGTATATTATTGTTCTCTGAACCGGTCTCATAATGAGTTGATTATAAACCGGAGGAAACTTTCTGTGAAGGCACGACCCCGGTCAAGGTAAATTAACTTCGAGTGTGAAGTGAGGGTAGAGTGGACCCTGTTTATGATTGCTTTCACGCCTGTCTGGTCATTAACCTAGGAACAACTTTGCCCCAAAAAAACATTTGCGTTCTCCGCATCTTTCCATTTTGTCTACTTTTTTTTTTTTCATTTTTATTAGTCCACAAATAAAACTTTTTTTGTTTGTCTATTCGTGATGAGGGTCGGACAGAGGGGTTGGTGGCGGAAGGGGGGAGGGGACAGAGGTCCTAAAGCATAAACAGATCAATAAAAGAAGACGAAGAGGCAAAGCCACAAAACTACGAAAGGAATCCGGCAAAAGGAGCCTAAGAAACAACAGCGGCAACTGGCGCAGTTCCCATGCAAATTTCACCAGACAAACTACACCCCCTCGGAGACTCCATTGGATCCATAGATTCCAAGGAACCCCTTGTAGTCCCCAAACCCTTCGTTCAAAGCCCAGAGGCACCTCGAGGACGACACTCTCCACGCCATTAACTGTTGCCCGTCTCTATTTGTTTGTACAAATAATGTGTAAGCAGGCATATTTTTGTCAACGAGGCTAATTTCTGTCACAGATTTACGTGACAATGGCCCGGGCAAGAAGCTAAGGCCCAGAAACGCTTCGAAAGCCAAAGAAATCCCCAACAACACGCATACACGGAATAAAAACACAACAATTACAAAACAGGTTCCATCAAAAGAAGGCAATGGGAATGGGAATGGGACTGGGCTTTTTGGCTAGTGGGTGGCGGTGAAGGTGGCTTTTGGGCCAAGTCTGCCAGTTTTTGGTCGAAATATTTTCGTTTCTTCTGCTGTCAGAGAGGTTCGTAGTCGTCGTCGTCGTCGTCGTCGTTTTGCGGGCAGTCCGTAAAAGCCATAAAAAGAAATATACCGGCAGCGGGCAAAAAAGAGGCCCAAAACAAAACTGAGCCGTGAAGAGCCAGCCAGCGTCAAAAAAAAAAAAACAGAAAAAAACTGGGTTAGCTCGGGTACTCCACTCCCCCAACATCATCTCCCCTGTCATTGTTGTTTCTCGTCGTTGTTTCTTTTTTTAGCACCTATGCACTGTTTTTGCTCTTTCTGAACGATGCGCCCTGCTCCTGTCCGTCTTGGTTATTGTTGTCCAAGGAACTCAATGTGTGACACATATGCAGTTGCCACAGTCGCAGTTTCCCCCCCCCCATGCCACCCACTACTCATCCTGCCGCAGCACTCGTTCCCCAGATTTTTCTGGCCCGCTCCACTTTTTGGAGCCAGCGTCTTGAGACCACAGAAATCGGATTTCTAGAGAGTGCTTTATGGGTAAAATTTTGATATCTTTAAAAAATAATAAAATAATAAAAATGTTTTCCAACGAGCAGCCTTTCAAATTTAAAGAACATTATTTTAACAGCATTGTTTTTGTTGTTTAAAGAAATTTTAAAGTAGAACGCACCAAATAATCATAACTAATAAATAAATATTTAACTTTTTAGTGTCATAAAAGATTAAAAAATTTTTTTTGATGACCATTAATTATAATTTGTTGTACCATAAATCATTAACTCAAATCATTTTATCTTTAAAGCAAAATAACAAAAAGTTCAGTTAATCAAAGTATTTTGGCTTTTTCAGTTGAAAAGCGTGAAAATGTAAGTTGAAAACCCAACAATGATAATTATTTGATTAAGCAGACATAATCTAAATAAGCACTTTAATGCGTTCCAAGGATTTTTTATAGGAGAGCTGCTAAAATATTCACAGCTTTCAAGAATCCCAATAATAATATCCTGGCAAGACAACAGAGCAAAGCTGTTTTGCCTGGCAAATGAAAACCGAAACCGAAATCCATTCGGATTCCATGCTATACTGCTGAAATCGAATTTTCACCCAAGTCCTTGTTGGGCAATGCAAATAGCCAGTGACAATCTCTGGATGCCTCCACTGATCTGTGGAAATGCCAGTAAAGCAGCAGCAGAACGATGCACTGACCACCTATCAGAATCGTTGATGGACGCTGATATGTTTGCCACATTTAATTGGGAGTGTGGGTGGTTGGGTGGTCAGTACTCTTCAACCCACTCCCTGCTGATCCAGTACCACCACCACCCCCCGCCGAGGTTGTTTATTGGCTGACAAGTGCTGCACATCCGGGCTGCGTTTGCGGAAATGAGCAAATGACTAATGACTGACCAGGGCGAAGGCACCCGAGGCGGCAAATGACCCTTGCCCCCCAATTCCAGCTGCTCACTCTGTTGCTGTTGCCATTGCCGTTTCTGTTTTCTGTTTTCAGCTTTCTGTTTCTTGTTTACTGTGCGCTTCAATTAAAGCATCTTGCAGGAAATTGAACTTTTAGTCAAGTGGCCAACGACGAGTGGGCGGCTGATGGGTGATGGGATGGCTGATGCCTCCAGTTTGAGACGTCGACCGCCTCATCAATCTGTTACGTACTTGACTTGTGGGTGGTGCCGGATTGCTGGATGCTGGTGGCTGATGGCTAGTGGTGTCTGGAGGCTTCGTGGGTCGGCGACGGCTGTTCAGGGCTCAAGAATCGTATCCGTATCCAGTTGTTGCATGTGCCCCGGTTACTTTCCTCCGTTTGCTTGCCTTTCTTGCCACTTGAGTTTGATTACTGATCACTTCACTTCATGCAATCACCACCGCTTGATTACTTCTTACTTTTCGATATGCACTGAAATCTGCAACTAGCGAATATAATATTTTTTTGTGTTGGTGGCCCCGAAAGCCTATCCATTTGTGGTCACCATTACGCGATTGCCCAAATTGCTGGCCGGCTAAGTACGAGATGTTGCCGCTATCCGGCCGCGCACCACCAGCAACATCGATACGGCGGATAATGCCACACGACCAGGGGCGATGTACTACTATCTATCTGCGATGCTCACGCGCCAAATAACCAACGTGCACTGGCACATCCGTGCCACATTATGCGCATTTTATGGCACGTTGGCGCGACCTCGACACTCGCTTCGTTTTAGATCACACGAAGTGTTCGGCGGCGGCGGCGGCACGCGAGCAACATGCAACACGGAAATTGTTGTCCTAGGCGCAACAGAGCCCAAAGCCTCCTCCAAGTACCCGAAGCCACATGGAACGACCCGTGTCGTGGCACTAATCGCTTGCGAGAGTCGCCAAACCCGAGCTCCACCGATTGCCAGAGCATCTGAGCATGCGTCTTGCGTGATTTCGAATTAATTTGCCACCTGGCAATGCCATGGGTCTTCGGGCGGAGTATTCAAAGAAATTCTAGACTGGACAGGACAGTGATTTGATGGCGGCAAAGACGAAGATGGATGCGCATTATGGAGAGAGAGGGGCCAAGGGTGCCGAACCGGCCGGATTCAAGTTCGGGTTGCCCTTTGACCGCAAAATACCGGCTGCCAGCTAATAAACTCCAGTAGCAACCAAATTTGTTCTTCGAATTTATTGTGGAGCATTCTTGCGTTGCTGCTTTTCGGACCCCAAAAACTAAGACTGATAAATGGCCACGCACACTGGCAATTTGCAAGTTGCTGGCCGTTTAGAGCACTCAGCTAACCCCAAAAGTTTTATATGCCTCATCTCGGCTCGTTGCGGCCCGGTTCGGGTCCCCTTTTTTGCCGGCTCCTCGTCTTGGTTGTTTTTAATACACAATATTAGCCGGTAGTGATGTTTCAATTAATTTTTAAGGTGCACCACCCCCCACCACTCCACCATCCCATCGCTCGACTTGAAAACCGAAAGCCGAGGAGGCGAGAGATGGCTAAAGATATAGATGGAAGCTTTAAGATGCAGAACGAGGGGAACGAGAAGGCAGAACCGCATGCTAAGATATGATGGCAGATGCCAAGCAGGATGAATAAATGGCTCGGATGCAAAGTTTAAATTTTTCATCGTTGGGTGGCTCGGTTCGCTTCGGTTGGACTGGCTCTTTGGGGGTTTGCTTGGCAGTTCTAAATCTTCCTCATCTTTGTCTTCTTGCGGTTTTCATTGGTCAAACTAGGGAGCAATTGGATTTTGAGCAGTGCCAGTAGATTATTGCATTTCTAAGTAGTTTTACTTTGGTCAAGACAACCTTATAAACACATAAATGAATTAATGTTTTTGAAAACTTTTTAGGTTTCTCAATTTTTTGTCTTTATTATTCTAGCTTTTAATCCAGTGTAAATTCGTTAAGGATTGTCATGAAAAGAATTTTCAAATCATTTCCTACAGCTATTTACACAAAGTTACGCCTTCCTCGCAAAATCCCGATTCGGTTTTTTTGAATGCTACGAATGAATATAGGTAAAGTATTGGGGATTGTAAAAAAATATTTATGAAAACTTACGGGGAAGCTTTGCCTTCTGTCGTCGGCACTTTTCGTTCTCCAGTGCACAAGTACTTGTTCCCTCGTAGTAACATTTTCCATCGTAGTTGCAAGTGGGCAATATACATGGCCCGCAAGGCTTGTTGCAATTTTGGCCATAGCCAAAATCGATCAACATAAAGACTAATTGACGGATATAAAATATTAGTACTTAATATATATAGAAAGAGTCATATAACAATTGCTTACCCAAAACAATAGTAATATATAAATTCATTGCAAGACCTTTTACTCAAAACTAAAGCCTTATAAGAACCAACAATGTGGAATGAAAAAAGCCACTGGATAAGGTTCATGCATTTCAAAGGCATATCGATTTAATTAGTCATACCAGAAATGCTTGCATAAGCTTTTCAATTTACTAGAAAATGGTTATGGTAATGGAATTTAAACCGTATCGGCTAATCCCAAAGAAATACATTTACAAGTGTCTTTCGCGGAGCTCAAAGTTCGACGCGCTGTACATTTAACAAACAATTTTCAGTCAATTGTGTCGGAACATTCCCCATTTCGATTCAATACCTACTGCAGTTCAGTTCCGAGTTCTGCTGGATTCTGCTCATCCCCATCCCCATCCCCTTCCCCAGCCCCATTTCCATCCTGATCCCCAAACCTCCTTCATCTTGTTCTTGTTGTGGTTTAATGGATTTGCAGTTTGCAGTTCCTTAACAATTCCATGTTATTCTCGCTTTTTTGCGTTTCCTTTCTCGCGCTTGCCCTTTTCGTGTTGGAGTTGAATTCTCGCAATCTCCCCCTTCTATTTTTGTTGTATTTGGTTCCGTTTCTTTTTTCTGCTTCAATTTTTGTAGTATTTTTTGTAATTTCGTTGTATTTTTTGTATTTTGGTAATTGCTTGCCATTGTTGGTGGCACTGCAGCGATTGCAGGGCGAACTTTCCCCAGCGGAGTTCGCAATTGTTGAGCATTGTGCGACTAAAGTAAACTCTTTAAATATCCCCCCTGGTTGAGAAGTATTTTCCGATCTCTGCCACCGCTCGGCAGTTATCAATCGAAGACAAATCAAGGAAAAGTTTCTCCTCTGCGTTGGGGGCTAAATCTGTGCCTTCAAATTAACTCGCACCCAACACGTATCTAATTTCATTTTCACTACATGTGTGGCACATAAAAAACTAATTCAAAGCGCTCAATATAATTTATATCCTATCTGGACAACAAACAAACAAAGGGACACGAGAAGAACGAGCGGGAAAGGACGAAAGGAAACGCCAGGGGACCTGAGACCTGGGAAACAGGGACCAAGGACCTTCGACCAGGACGAAAACGAGGACCAACGATGCTCAATCGCACACAGCAATCAGCCCAAAAAGGCAAGCGAAATTTTTTGTAATTTTTATGACCCCAAAAGACGCATCAATTCCGAAGGGCAGATCTCCGAACAAAGGACCCCAATACACACCCAATAAGAGAGGGCGGCCAAAGCAAACTTATTTAAAGATGTAAGCGCAATAAAATAAAATAATAAAAATACAACTTTTCACCCATCCTGAGCAGCTCACCCAAGCGTTTTGGGGAGCGGGGGAAGTCCCTATCCTCCTCCGACTATAAACTGTTCCAAGTTATCTAAAGTGTTAAATCACCTGATGCCGTCAGCATGAAATTTACGCACATAAATCTTTTGGGGCAAGCCCAAGTCCGAAACTGAGAATGGGCCCGCAAAAAAACATAAAGCAAACATAAGCAGGACCCTTTAACCGAAGAAAAAACAGGACACGAACAACAACTCAAAAAGCTAGAACAGCGAGGGTCGTTAGGTGGATAAGTAGAAAAAAAACAATCAAATTAAAGGGTCTTAGATTTTGAGAACATAATAAGTGTTCTTTAACTTACTAATCGTATTCATTAAACTTTTGTAATTAACCAAATGATTTAATAAGATGTAAGAAAAAGGAATAAAAATATTGAAAACAAAATACTTGAAAATTTGGTTTACTATTCTTAATTTGTTGCCTTAAAATGTGTTGTAAAAGTAAACAAGTCTAGAATTAATAAAAGAAGGGCCCTTTTGTTTAATATTGGTTGGAAAAGACTTTTGAGTTCGGAAAATTTCCCTGTGTTGATCTTTTCCTAAACTATTTATATTGCTATATCACAAAGTTCTTGACCGCATCTCCGTCTGTAGTTGTTTATAAAGGTTGCCCAGGCAGGCCGTTGACAGTCTAAGGCCCCAGACTGTGAACCATCCATCCCCCGGCCTTTTTTACCCATTCCTGCCCCAAATCATCTGAACCATCTTCCCCCGTGGAGCTGAACAAAACGTGTGCGAGTGCGAAAGGCTCGACCCCTGAGTTAGTTTGTGTATATTTTATGGCTTTATAAAAACGCCTGACCTGTCGACGTTGAGCGGGGTCACCGATGAGATGCACGGGTTCGACAAGTCTAGATTTTGTTGGGGGCTACTATCATATGCTCATTGATTGATACGGGTGATTGGAATCTAAGGGAAGTCTGAATTCTTCTCGGTTTAACAGAAAGTTGCGATCTGTGAGGAAGTTATTTAAATTCTTCTGTGCCATTCCTTTGTTTTCACAATTGTTAGCGATGATGTTACCCAAAGCATCTTGTGATGTTTTTAACGACAAAAGCGTTAAACGTTCGCCCCTGCTACAGTGGCAGGTGTAGCAGGTGTGGCAGGTGGGTGGATTAGCGGGCTCAAAGAGGGTTGTCGCATCAGTGGCAGCATCAGCAACTGGAAAATCAACAAACAGCGCTATAAAACTGTTGCAAAGGCAGCGGAAAAGCGAAAAAAGCAGGCGAAAATAACAGTAGTAACTGGCATAATAATGCCAGCAACAAAAAAGGGAAACGTAAACGTTGCGCATTGCGGTGGGTGGCGCAAAAACAGTCGCAAGTTGGCAACTTGAATGCTTTGGCAAACGGTTAATGTAATGAAAATGGCAGCGACAATAAAAAACAACATTCGATGTGTGCAGGAACGTAGTTTTCCCGTTGACATCCGGACAATCGATACAAGTTGTTTTCTTACTGTCTGCTCGAATCAAAAGCCCTGAAAACTGAGTTCAGGACCCACTTGTTATGACACTTGTCGGATAAAGATCCTCATTGGCAACAAAATTTGTTGTCATCAGTGCGGTCATCACTTACGGTTGAGTATGTTTGCTAACATGATTTTATTGAACAAAAAATAAACCTGTTAAATTTCTGTAAAAGGAAGTTTCTCCTTATTATATTTTCTTTGCCATCTGAATTTGTAGCCGTGAACCAAAATTCCTAAAAATACAGATGTTATCAATAATCAGAATGCAAGTAACCCAATTATTTACCAACCACTTGGACTACATTTCCCTGCAAAGCGAAAACGATCGTTAGAAGCGCCTTTCCCTCCACAGAACCATCACAAAGCACGTCGGCGGCGGAGGAGCTCCTTTAAAGGCTAAAAGATTTCGCCCCAGTTGTTCTGGTTCAGCTATCTTGTTTGGAATGTTACCCCAGAGGCCTTCAGCCAAACTGAAATTGGACAGAATGGAAGCCAGGGGTGTGGAGTGGAGAATAAATAAAAGAAGCAGACCTAAGTTGCCTGTGAATTACCTTGGAAAACTTGCCGACAAGTTTGTGCATTTGCCCCCTGGAGCCCCTCGTCTTCCTGGCCTGAACTCAATGATCCCCCCGACTGTGTGCAACAAGGTAGAGCCAATAATGAAAAACTACTTCAACATGCAATAAAGCAAAGTGGCAGGTTTTTCGAAAGCAGAATACGAATAATAATGAATTAATTGATTACAGTTAAATGGGAATAGTTACCAGCTGAAGGTTGTTTCACAGATGGCCGGGAGGTGGAAAGCTACGAATACCACAGCCGAGTTCGGGAAATGCTTTCGAAAGCGGAACAAACAGTCGACGAAAACAAATTAAAGCGCACACATCAAGGATATAATAGCACGAAAGCCCCCAAAATGAACTTTTCCCAATTAAAGGTTTTTCGATATACATTTAACTAGAAATATACATCGGCTCTTTCTCTAATTCCCCTCATGGCGCACTTGCGTGAATAGCAATAGAAGAGGCAGCCTAATTAAAATTTAATTGCACATCTAAATGAAATTTACAACAAACAATTGAGGAGGGCTCACCCGTTCAGACAGACAAACAAACAAGCCAACAGGGGTGAATGGGAAAAAGATAGACAGCCAAATATCACGCATACGCAACATTGTTCGCAAATAATGAATCCTATTTGACATAAATGACGAAAAAAAAGAACAAGCTGATTGAAGCTATAAATAGTGCTTTAATGGTGAGGTTTTCTAGGGGAACTAAAACTTTAGTTACTTTACATTCGGTTGGAGTTTAATATATTCATTTTTAAACCTTGCAGTCCGTTTTTATTCGTGTGTAGACTCAATAAAGCATTTCATCAGAAACTAAAGCGTCTTGATAAAAAATATTTTTTAGGTGTTTAATTAAGTTCTATTGTGACAAGCGGAAATTCCTTCCTTACGAATTTAGTTTCTATTGCAATCGCAGAGCTGCTGCACTTGGCAAATCAATAGGTATGTATTATTAGATTTTAAATTCAATTGAATAATGCAGCAGCAACTGGCTGCCGCATGGCAAACAACCTCTTGCCACGCCCGCAAATATGTACACATTAAGCGGACGGACAGGCAAATGAACAAACCATTTGGCTAAAATATTTTTACCAACGCAAAATCTAACCGACAACATGCGAGCGCACAGACACAGTCGTAGTTCATAGACAACTCTGTGCCAAAAACTATTCTTTACATAATTTATACAAAATTTCGCACTAATTGCAATAGTTAATGCAGATTTCAACCGCATTTGAATTTGTACGTGCCTCGTCGCCCACCCACGCTTCTCAACCGCAAAATATCTCATTTACATACAACGCAGAAGGACATGCAGCACCACCACCAACAGCAGCAGCAGCAGCAGCATTCCATCCTGCCCATCCTTTCAAGAGTCCTGACCAAAGGCGAACAGCTGCGGACCGCTCATGTGAATTGCATGAAGTGCTGCCACGTGTTCCTCTCTCGTTCGCCGAATCCTGCTCCTGTTCCTGCTCCTGTTCCTGTTTCCGCTCCTCCTTCCGCTCCTCCTCCTATAGGATTCCACTGGCTCCATCAAAGAGTGGTGGCCACTGAACCAAATAGTTACACGAGCAACCGCAATTGATTTTCGAGGGCTGCGGGTCCAGAAGCGCGGCATATCATGTTTGCCGAATAACTGCACTTTTACCACTTTATTAAATTACTTGTTTTCTCCCAAAAACAATGAA